ATGATGTTAAAGAATATGTAGGATTACCAGTAGTTTTATTTATTCCAAGCTCTGTTGTGAGACATTGCAAATAATGGTTTTTACATATGAAGACAATATTATTGGAGGCTTTATCTGCTGGAACAACGACATATTTGTCATGCAAAGAGGATAAAGCATCCACAACATCCGGATTCTTGAAAGGGTTAGTAACTCTTGTGCTCATAGTGCATTGTAGTTTTTGAATGCGCTTCTGAATGCATGATCGAATAGCTTTCATCCATTCAGACAAAGTGTTCAGTTCTGGTTCGTCTGGTTCGCGCTTTACCCATTTTCTTGCATAGTCCTCAACTGCATCTATCAGTAACCTGAAGTTCTTTATCCAGTTGATGGACTGGGGAATTCTATATTTTGGTCCCTTGGTTAACAACTCTCTTAGTTGTTCATTGGTAACGATGCCAAGGTCGCCATTAATAACATGATCAGCTGGACTATAATTGTATTGCGACGATGCACATGAGCAATCCGGAGTCTTGGATTTCACATCTTTAAGGTTAAAAGTTATTATCTACAGAATTAGACTTATTACCGGGTGTGTACTAACATGAGCAACACGACGGGTGCCACATGTGGAGCAGGATCTGCTTACCCTTTCAGAGCACCTGAGATCACCCAAGTTTTTTGTGAGGTTCGTGTTGCTCAATCTTTAGTTTTCTATGTTGTGTTTTGTGTACTATTGTTTGTCTGTTGGTATTTTTCTATTTTAGCCATGGCGTTGTCAGTTTATTTTCGACTTAAGAGTTTGAATGTCCCTCTGGAATCTTTCGCCTCTCGTTTATTAGAGATTCGTCTAAATTTCGTTTTATTGATAAATTTAACAATATCTACCGTTAACTTGATGATATTTTCATTAAATAATCAAGAATTCTCTAAATATACTGTTGAATTTTTAAACGGGAATGTTCATTTGACTCCGTCTTAAAATTGAGAATGGAAACGGGGAATGTGTCAAAGAGACGACAATCCGACCAAAGAGCAGAAAACAGCTCAAGGCCACCAATGGGTCTTAAACACAGCGAGAAATTCCCGCTAACAATGTTTATACATCCCAACGCGTTCGCTATGCCCGTGTTGGTAGTGATTTTTTAGGCTCTTTATGCACATAGTAAGTTTAACACTGGTAAGTTATTAAGTCGAGAATTTCGTTACAACTAATTTCCTAAATCTTTTACTAAATCATTCTTAGATAAAGAGATATGGTTTCGGAAATTTAGTTGTTTCTATAACAAATCTATTACTTAATTGATAATATGTCCTTATTTTTACGGCGATATTGTTTTTAGAACCCGTAATTTAGTTACGATCCAAAAAGTCATCATAGATACCAGAATTAAAATTGTGTACACCAGATGCGCGTTTCGTTTGCAGAAAACTCATCAGTGACGCTCGAATGAAACAATTTAAAAAGGCAAAACAAAGTCCATGTAAGCTTATCGACCCTTTGAGATATCTTATTATCAAAGGTTATTAATATCATTGTGACAAAATTTTTGAACTATGTTTTCATCGATACTAACATTGGCTTCAACAACAAATTCAATGATAGGACATCATCAATATATTGGAAAGTAAAATTAAGGAATTTCGCAAGGTGCTTTTTCTTTTTGTCTTTTAGAAGGTTCTGAATGAATTCTGCTTCATACGAGTACAAAAACAAATGGGCCAGTAGTGGTGCACAATTAGTACCCATTGGAATACCGACTGTCTGTTGAAATATAAATCCTCCAAACTCAACAAATATATTGTCGATCAAAAAGTCCAGCATTTTGATAATATCATCTTCAGTATATTTTCTGGTAGATTCAGTGTGGTTCTTCACAAAATATGAATTATTGTAACCCAAAACAAGAAATTTGTATCTATGATTCCCATTTTTATAGAAAAAGCTCTGTTTAATGAGATGGTGAAGTCGATCTTTCAACTGAGCATGGGGAATAGTAGTGTAAAGCGTAGAAAAATCAAAAGTCTTTATGTTGCTGCAAAATTGCAAAGATTGTCATCGAAGATTAAGCAGTAGATCTTTCGAATTTTTGAGAATCCACATCTGGTTAACATCACTGGTAGAATATATCTCATCACAATATTTTTGAAGCCCATCTTTAACTGTAGAAAGAATAGTAGTCAGTACTTTAGAAAGATGTTTAGTCGAACATTTTGATGACCCAGCTATGTATCGTTCTTTATATGGAGTTTTGTGAAGTTTTGGTATCCAGTATAATGATGGTAAATTTTCTTCGTTTTCTTTGATGTTGATACCAAAAGAAAGAAGGATAGATTTGTGATTTTGTAAAATTTCGTCCTTGGTAAATGATGTTAAAGAATATGTAGGATTACCAGTAGTTTTATTTATTCCAAGCTCTGTTGTGAGACATTGCAAATAATGGTTTTTACATATGAAGACAATATTATTGGAGGCTTTATCTGCTGGAATAACGACAAATTTGTCATGCAAAGAGGATAAAGCATCCACAACATCCGGATTCTTGAAAGGGTTAGTAACTCTTGTGCTCATAGTACATTGTAGTTTTTGAATGCGCTTCTGAATGCATGATCGAATAGCTTTGATCCATTCAAACAAAGTGTCCAGTTCTGGTTCGTCTGGTTCGCGCTTTATCCATTTTCTTGCATAGTCCTCAACTGCATCCATCAGTAACCTGAAGTTCATTTTCAAGTTGATGGGCTGGGGAATTCTATATTTTGGTCCCTTGGTTAACAACTCTCTTAGTTGTTCATTGGTAACGATGCCAAGGTCGCCAGTAATAACATGACCAGCTGGACTATAATTGTATTGCGACGATGCACATGAGCAATCCGGAGGCTTGGATTTCACATCTTTAAGGTTAAAAGTTATTATCTACAGAATTAGACTTATTACCGGGTGTGTACTAACATGAGAAACACGACGGGTGCCACATGTGGAGCAGGATCTGCTTACCCTTCCAGAGCACCTGAGATCACCCCAGTTTTTTGTGGGGTTCGTGGTGCTCAGTCTATAGTTTAATTTAACAATATCTACCGTTAACTTGATGATATTTTCATTAAATAATCAAGAATTCTCTAAATATACTGTCGAATTTTTAAACGGGAATGTTCATTTGACTCCGTCTTAAAATTGAGAATGGAAACGGGGAATGTGTCAAAGAGACGACAATCCGACCAAAGAGCAGAAAACAGTTCAAGGCCACCAATGGGTCTTAAACACAGCGAGAAATTCCCGCTAACAATGTTTATACATCCCAACGCTTTCGCTATGCCCGTGTTGGTAGTGATTTTTTAGGCTCTTTATGCACATGGTAAGTCTAACACTGGTAAGTTATTAAGTCGAGAATTTCGTTACAACTAATTACCTAAATCTTTTACTAAATCATTCTTAGATAAAGAGATATGGTTTCGGAAATTTAGTTGTTTCTATAACAAATCTATTACTTAATGGATAATATGTCCTTATTTTTACGGCGATATTGTTTTTAGAACCCGTAAATTTAGTTACGATCCAAAAAGTCATCATAGATACCAGAATTAAAATTGTGCACACCAGATGCGCGTTTCGTTTGCAGAAGACTCATCAGTGACGCTCGAATGAAACAATTTAAAAAGGCAAAACAAAGTCCATGTAAGCTTATCGACCCTTTGAGATATCTTATTATCAAAGGTTATTAATATCATTGTGACAAAATTTAAGAACTATGTTTTCATCGATACTAACATTGGCTTCAACAACAAATTCAAACATAACTTCAAAAAATGTATTGCTATACAGCAAAAACGGATTACGTCTCTACATTCTGTTGATAGATTTGATTTTGCATTGCACAATATCATGTTTGCCTACTCCATTAATGACGTCTTTATACTAATATATTGGATGTGTACTGATCGATGATTTGTATTAGATACTTTTTTTTTATAATTTGTGATTGGCTTGAAAGTAATTTTTAGAAACTACGAGTACTCTCTGATCGGTACTTTGTTTTTAATGATTTTGTTATTTTTTTGTGTGCTTTGTACCGACCTGATGAGTCAAGTAATTCTTAACTGATTTTTTACTTTTAGATTGTTCTCATGAAATGCGGTAATGCCGCAGCCACACGCAAGGTGGATGGTTGGGTGCCTGCAAACATGTTTAACCCCGCCACATTCTGTATATGTGTGTCTCAAGTCAGGAGCCTGTTATTTAGTGGTTGTCGTTTGCTGCTGTATATCATATTTTTTTCTTTTATTCTTTTGTACATTTATTTTCTTGTGTTACGTGTTTGTAACACTGTCCCACTACGCGTCGTTATAGGTAAACTCAATTTGCGACAGTAAAATCAACGTTTTTACGACGGCCAAGCTTCAATACAATACAGTAATCCCCTAATTTAACTAAAAGTAGGTTTACGAAGGGTCAATAATAGCCCTATAATTCCAGGAAATATAACTTCAATGATTCATGGAATACATGTAGTTAATATTTGATATGACCAAACACGTTTAAAATATCAGAAAAAAACTAAATTAATAAGTTCTGGTGCATTAGAACACTTACGATTTCATACTGACGTCATACATGTGTTATTTTATGAAGAAAATTATAATTTTGACTTGAACTTTTTGGCTAAAGTTTAATAGATTTTGCTTCAAACGACAGTGATTACATGCGTGGACCACAACATGCTTTGTTATGACCAATATTCATCATTGTATAACCAATGTATTTTGGTCAAAGGTCATTGCCAATGCTTTTTCAAAAGGATATATACCTTATAAATACATAAAAAGCAGACAATTTGGCTAAAATCCTGTAAAGTGTCATACTGTTGAACATGGTTTAAATAAACAGCAGACAGAAAAGAGTCTATTTTTTTCAAAATAGGCGCACTAGTTTTTAAGATCATAAATATGCTTTATTACAATGAGTAATGTTTAGGACCAAATTAAGGCATTCGCAGCCCTACTCCTCTAAAATAAAAAGATATTACCTGTTTTTCACTGCTATTATCCACTGGATTTGTCGAATCTGTACGTGTGACCTATACCAGAAAGTATAAACAACAGAGGTTTTGTAACAATTGACAGAAGCTCCGCAAATGACTTACTTGGACATAATCAAAAATATTTCTTTAATAATTTATCCAATGTGTTATACACTAAATACCATTGTAAACCGTTATTTAAGGTTAAAAACGTCTAGTGTATAGAAAGGTAGACAGACAATAAAATAACCATAAATTGGGCATCCCAATCTTGGATTTATGTATTTTTTTATATATCATAAGGGTATATATCAAAGGAATTTTTGATAAATTTTACTTACACAATTCATTTTATTCGTTAAAATATTTTGAGGAAATATGCTACAGTTTTAACTAATGAATACAATTTGTAATTCTGCCAGGGAAGATAACTTTTGCACAAACGTGTTCAATTCAGGAAATATAAATTACCATGATATCACTGGAAATTGTCAAAGTTTAACCCTATTTGGTAAAAAGCAATGGTAAAACTATATATTTTTTTTTATTTCTTGAGAGCTATGGTTTTATGTATGTCCACAAAACAAAATTTAATAGCTGATTTCCATGTTTTATTCTCCGTGATTTCACATAATTAATCAAGTTCAATTCGTTATTTTTTAAAACACTTTCAAATTTAGTTTTGAATAAAAATATATACATTTAACTGTTTTAATCTTATATTGTACAGAAATACTCATAGGCGATTTTTTAAACAGCTATAGGTTGCATTGCTGTAAATATAGGCAATGCAATTTCCCATTTACGGCTAAAACTGTGCCACTTTTACTATGAAGTTTCGTAAAAAATTATATCCTAGAATGGAAAGTTGATATGTACTACTTTTTTTATTCAAAGGTCAAAACATAGGGCTGTGCGGCATATTTTCAACATTTATATGCCCCGAACTTCTAAGAGTTTAAACTTATACTAAAATTCTACACTACCCCTCACTTCACTTTAGGTCTTTCTCAGAATTCAATTCCACCGCCTAACATGTGCATTTATACTGGTAACATTCCCAAATTATGTCTCTATGAGATGAAACATAGAGATCATATCTGGGAACCAGTACGTAAACAAAACAAAATGTCTATGAATATTATATATCTCCCCTAAAGAGGCGTGGTTTGTGAAACAGCTGTATTTACAAAGTGCAACCTATAACGTGTGATAAAAACAGTTCCTGTGCTGTAAATATTTCCCTTTCAAACAAATTAAAATGATGTCGTGTGTTTGAGTAAAAACGATTCTACATTAACCACATGCAGCTCCAATTCAAATTAGTGATGATAATAGTTTAAATATAATGTCCAAGTGAAACTAAAAATGAATAAGGTTAAAAGGGCAATAGCTGTCAAATTCATGTTCACCTATTTAACTTAAGTTCTCATATTTGATTTATAACATACTAAAACGTAGATACAAATTACAAAACGTCTAAAATAATCATTTAACATTGCATGGAATCGATAATATGTATCAATATTTCATGTGTATTTTTGTCAAGACGTCATTTAATTAATCATCGAGATGACCCCAGAAGATTACCGACGGTCATATATGCCGATATAAATATATATACATAAATATAAAATAGACAGAAACCACGTGCAGTTGGAATTTTCTAGGTATGTTTGATTTCATATGGTTGGATTAAAAGTATGTTGTCAATATATTGGAATTTAATGCGACTGTCATACAAGTGAGAGGTTTAGCTAGCTTTAAAACCAGGTTTAATCCACCATTTTCTACATAAGAAAATGCCTGTACCAAGTCAGGAATATGACAGTTGTTATCCATTCGTTTGATGTGTTCGGGCTTTTGATTTTGCCATTTGTCTACAGACTTTCCGTTTTAAATATTCCTCGGAGTTCGGTATTTTTGTTATTTTACTTTTTTTCATCGTTTTTACCTGTAAAAGAATGATAATTTGGGGATCGAAATGTTTATGCATGTATATCGTAGCTAATGCCTCTTTCAGTCTAAAATCAATATATTCATTGTCCTAAACGAGCTTTGACCATATTGCAAATGAATTAGGGTCAATATAATCTAATGTACGATAAGAAATTTGATCATATAGTTGCTGAGAAAGAAGACGATGTGCCATCACTGTTAAATATGTATTAACATATTATGGAATTGCTACTATTTTTATTTTCATAAATATAGTATCTGAAGAAGATCGAATAGTGCATTATCCTATTTGTTTATTTAGCCAGAGAATATACTTTGGGGATCTTAACCATAGTCTCCTTCCGGAAATCATAAGAATACATTGATTAGAAAACATTCAGTAGCTTAAGCATATACAAAGCGTATAGCTAAAATACTGAACTAATCATATTCAAAAAGTGGAAGTCCATAAAAACTGACAAAACCAAACGCTATCAATCAACGGAACAAGTGAAAAACAACTGCCATATCTTGACTTAGTACAGGCATTTCATGAAGACATTTTTTGGTAAAACGGTTTTCGAATATGATGAGGCTAGAAAATGTGATCTACCATTTCGTTGAATCAACTGCTGTTATCTAAAAACTCTAATTTCGTTTAGAATGGAGATGGAGATCTAAAACTTACCTGCGTGGAATCTTCAACGTCTCTAACAAAAACTGGATTATCATAAAAGTATTCCTCCTTTTTCCACTGTAAGGATATTTTGTTTAAAAATGCGAAAATGAAAGGTTACAGAAATAACTTTAAATGAACACTATTCACTATAAACATGTGTTATTTTATGATGACTAAAACAGCTGTAACTTCATGAATATGCCTGTTAATGAAAACATCAAATTATCAATTTCAATACATGTATGGCCCTCAAAGTAAACATAAAGATACTGGTGTCACACCGTAATAAGCTTACGACGTTTTTGATTTTTTTAGAAACGTTAAGAACAGATTTTCGGCAGAACCTTTTAACGTTTCTTTCTCTAAATAAAGTAATTGTTATTTATTTGTATTCACAGACTCTGGTTATGATCTAGTTGTAATCATTGAGACTTTCTAAAAAGTCTTTACGTATGACACTGGTAAAAAAATGTCATTGTTTCCGTCAATTTCAAAACAGAAAAAAGACCGTTTTATAAAAATAAGAGGATTTGGTACGATGCCAATGAGACAACTCGCCACCAGAGACCAAATGACATAGAAGTTTTACTTGTTACAAGTTTGAATCTTTATGTGATATGTGAATACGAATTATACCAACTCTTAGTTGATTCAAGCATACACAGCGGTTGTTTCGACACAAAAATCACATGTAAAACATGAAAATGGTTTCACTAGTGGAATCATTGTTTTAATTTTCTGAATCTAGGAAGTTTTGTGTAAATTATGTATTTGTATTAACACCAGTGCTTCATGTATAATGTGGCATTCACGCATCTCGACGTTCAAAATGTTAAAAATAAGCTCGGGGATATTGGATTGGACACAACTGTTTATTAAGACCTGTTCTATTCTGTAGCACACTATCAAAATATGTGTACCAATGCGTACTTGAGTATTTGTACTTTTCAAGTCTTGTGCAAATTTGATTCATATACCTTGTTGAATACAAATATTCTGGCACTGAGAATACACATGTAACACAGCAAAGTACATTTCTGCAATACATGTGTTAAGGGGACATTTCCTCGGAATCTATATATATATATATTATGCAGATATCGTAACACGAGTTGCGTTTGAATTTTCAAAGTGTTGAATTATGATGTTTATGAACGGGGAAACAAAATGGAACTAAGTCGTTTTATGTCGAACACATTCAGTTAGGGGTTAGATGCATGTAATTGGATGGGAACATATATTTCAAACTCATTTTTAACATTCATGTCTTTTTTGTTTTGTTTTATGCTGTCTGTATATTGATAAAAAAATAGAACTGATTTTGATATAAAATCAATGTATTCAATATTTCGAATTCATACTGATTTTTTGCAACGAAGTTTGAAATAAGTGAACGTTGAAAGATAATAGAAAATTGGCGTGTTTTGTGCAAAAACCTCATTCTAATTGAGCGCTTTGAAAGAGATAGTACCATCTTTCGACGCGTTATTAATTAGCTTCATCTGTTTACGATGATGTAAGTATTGAAAGCCGTAGGAACTTTAAAATAATATTATTTTCCCGTAAGAAATACATACGAAAAAAAATCAGCAGCCTTACAATTCCCGCCCCGCAGATTATTATAAATCGTTGGTATGCAAATTACAGCCCCCAAACTTTTTCTTTTTACAAAAATTCGCTTTCTTCAAAATTTATAATCTTCGGCACAGCCCGCAGATTTTCAACACATTTGTCGAACTGTAATTTCTTGTCTATGAAAATGCTTTTTCTAGTTTTTCTATAAGATTTTTATAAAGAATTATATACCCTTTTATTGTTTCAATGCTATAGATGTTAGCTAAAACAAGTACAAATATGAACCTATGCAAAAAGTAAAATAACAAAAATACCGAACTCCTTGTGATTAAGTCTGTGGATTTTTTGTAAAAAATCTATGCTTGACCCCTTTTTAATGCAATGATACAATAAATAGTATTGCTGAGAATGACGTTTCCCTCCGGTACACGTCAGAATGGCACGTATCATTGACTATCAAAGCCATTAGCCAAAAATTCTCAAAAATGACAAAATGGCAAAAAGAGGGAAAAAAAAACAATATGACACAATCAACAGTCAGATATATCTGAATAATACAGTGCAAAGATCATCTTTATTGCGGAACATGGACGATATTGCTCGCTCTTTCAATTCTCTGTAGGAGTCTCCTGTTTAAAGTGTACCCGTTAAATAACATGAACAAAGGAATAATATAGTCGGGAAGAAGAAGCGCAGTATCCAACCCTTATATAAAAAAAAGGAGATGTCTAATGTCTTATTCACTTTAACCTCTAGAATGTACAATTGCACAGTAAAGCCAAATGTACAAGGAAGTAAATAATTTGGAAAGAGGTTTCATGATGAACTTGGAAACCAGCAATACAATGTTGTTTTCGGGGCACTGATGATTTTATTTTGGTATTCAGCCGAAAAAAAAGGATCCAGTTTTTTTCCATCTTTTTCGATTTTTCAGCAATGAAACACTGTTGGTTTTCAATTAATTGTCAATATATGTTTCATGGATAGAGGTACAAAAAATGTAAGGTGTTCAGCAATATTTGGCTCTTAGATCATAGATATAACATTTATATTGTATAGACACATGTTAATTGTTGAAAACTGAAAACTGTATGTTGCGCTTTAAATTTTTTCTGTTTTTTCGTCATTTTGTGGCTGTCTAATCGTTACCACCTTTTATTCATATTCAACATAAAAACAATTCGATAGCTGATAGCTGTGCCAAAAATACGAAAAACACATCAAACACCAGTTTATTTGTTGGTATATTCAATACAATTTTCAGGTCCATTATTGACAATCTATTATGGAAAATATATATAATAATTTTACCTTAATTTTGAAATACGAGAAAAATTAGATACCAGAATTATTATCTTGTGCATGAAAGCAGGGGCAAGTTTACTGTTTCAAATTTTAAGATTAAAGTCTAAACCTTACCGATGATGAGAAATAAGGAAAACATTTTCTCTCCAACATAAGTGCATGATGATTTATTGATCTAATACCAACTATCGTTTCAAATCACGAGGTACAATATCAAAATGAAAATAACAATATTCAAATTTCGTGTTTCCGAAGCGCTATTCTAGATTAACCTCATCAGGAACGCTCAAAACCAAACATTTGGAAGCCGTGGATATATAAATACGTAGAAATTTTAAGAATCTATATTCAGCTAAGGTTAACTTTTCCTGATGAAGTTGTTTAGTAGGAATTATTCAATTCATGAACAGGAAATTTTCGAAAAAAATATGTTATAAATAATATCAATACCGCAGCATTGAATACTGAGCTGATGATACCCTTGGGGTCTAACAATCAACTACATTCTGGATTTACCGCCGTCCTTGGCGCTCAAACCTACGTATGTGAAAGCCAGGGATGTATAAAAAAATGAAAAATCGTTAGGAGCTTTATGAGCAAAAAGGTCATACAACTTTTAAAGAATAGAGGTTGCTATAAAAAGAAACATGCATATAAGAAAGCACATTTCAAATAGGTACCTAATACTTACTGTGATAGTTTCATAACTCGTACTGGTGCTTACACTTTTACCACTACCATCACTTGAGCTTAACCCCTTATCACTAAATACATCTGAGTAAATTGTCGAAATGCTGATATGGTCATTATCATTGTTACTACCATTTCTTCTGCAAAGTATTGCATCAACCAGTGGAATATGTTAAAAACAATCTGAGATTAAGTCAGTAATTTATTTGTTTTGAATTGAAATAAGCATAAATTTTTAAACATAGAAACACATCATTATAATTTGCCTCCCCTTTTTATGATTTCTTTGCTTTTCCAGTCCTGATAGGCAATATTAAATTTAATGTTTTTTCTTCCTTTTTTCATTTTAGATATTAGTTTGTCATGGTCACTTTAAAAAATATTATTCTAAATAGTTACAAAAATAACCAATAAACACTTATATTCTTAATGTTTATAATGTTAAAACACCAATACGATTGTTTAATATAAAAAGAGTTCAATTTGATACTTAGTAGATTATTGTTCCTGCCACCAAGTGCATTGTCAGATGGTGCATGTGTAGCATATTTATGGATGTCAAATACACAAAAATATATAGTCATGGTCTGTTGAGAGAAATAATTATTTTATTATTATATTATGATTTAGTTTTTTCATAAGTTATTATTCTGAACATTCATATACGGTATGTGTCTGCTCTTGTCGTTGTTAAATGTGTGATTGTAATGATCAATTAGTTGTGAATTAGAATTATGGTTTTGTAATGTTAAGCATCGAAATTTGAAGATTTTCATTAAACATCCATTATAACTCGTTTTCAGTTAACCTGAATAACGAAAAAATAACTAAATCATAACTTACCCGTTAGTAGGCACCCCTAAAATATACATCAAAGATTATAGAGAAAAACAAACCATTTTTCAATCCCAAATTTATAGATTTTAGCTTCCACTCTTACGGTATCGGGGTACCTAATAAAGAACACTGTAATAATACCATACGCGTTTTACCACCGTTGGGTCTATTCAACTACTGGTGAATATGGAGCTAACCGCCTAGTAGCTAGGTCTTGTGCTCCAAATGTTTTAAACTCCCCAGGCAAAGTTGGCTTCGTTAGTGTTGAAAGGTTTTATTCGGTTGTATATACTGTCGACTTATTTTTGTTCGTTCTTGCTTATTTTTGTGAAATGGAGAACACTTTATTTTTATATTCAATTTTGTAAATTGTTTAAGTTTTACGGGGTTTTGGAGAAAACGTTGCAAGTATTACTCATACCTTTCTTATATTTCACTTTACGAATGAGCTTGAATAAAGACAAACTCAAATAACTAATTGGAATTTTGAAGTTTAACTTTGAGTTAATATAAAATATACGTTGTATGATTGCCAATGAGACAACTCTCCACCAGAGACCAAGCTAAATAGAAGTAAACACATATGTCACCATCCTTCAACATAACAGTATTAAACCCATGCCGTATAGTAAAAGGCTATGAAATTGACAAATGTTAAAAAATTCAAACGAGAGAACTAACGACTGATTTATGTAAAAAAAACAGAAGACGAAAACAATGATATACATAAAAAACGACAACCTTGAATAACATGTTCCTAACTTGAAACCGTTGGTTTTCCTGTTTGAATGGTTTTACACTAGTAATTTCTGGGGGCCCTTTATAGCTTGCTGTTCGGTGTGAGCCAAGGCTCCGTGTTGAAAGCAGTACTTTGACCTATAATTGTTCACTTTTTACAAACTGTGACTTGGATGGAGAGTTGTCTCATTGGCACTCATACCACATCTTCTTATGTCTATATATAGAATGTGGCGGAGTTGAACATATTCGCTGTCGCCACCTGCTAAATATTCATATTCCTGTCTGATATTAAGAACCTTGTCAGAGGTTGTTTAATACATCTTAATATTGTTTTCGTTATTTGGAAAATTTATTAAAGTTATCAAATCAAAAAGAAAAAAAATAGAAAAAGGATTATAGGAACAACAAAAATATGTTTTACAGTAATAAAGACTACAGCATGAAATTACATCTGACGATTAATAATGATTAAAGGGCAGGGTTTAGATGTAAAAAAAATAGTTTAGTACTGCCAAATATTTAGGCGCCTGTTAAAAGTCAGTTTTTAGTGGTTGCTTTATATCATACGTTACATTTTTTTATTTCGCTATTTATAGTTCTATTAAGGCGAAGTATTAAAATATTTTGTGATATTTTAGACTTTTGTGACTTTTTTATGCATCAATGATGTTAACGCTTACATTTTGTTTATGTATATATGTGTAGATCGATCTTTTTATAAATAAAACAATTTTCTAAAAGATTAATAACAATTTATAAATTTCATGGGTCTAAAGCGCTATTCTATGTTTACCTTTATCAGGAACGCTCATTTTCCGAATGTTTGAAAGCCAAGGATGTATTATAAGAACCGAAACAGTTGAAGATCTTTATAATAAAAAAACGAAACCATAGTTTCGTATCTATTTCTGAATTTAAAAACGGACATTTTAGAAAAGTTTGTTATAAATCATGTCAGTTCCGACTGAAAGTCCACAGCAGCGGTATCGACCCAGTGCCGTTCAAAGTGAACACTTTATAAATTTTAAGCGTCCGAGGTGCTTTTCTTTTTTCCCCATTAGCAAGAACGCTTAATGCCGGATGTTTGAAAGCAAAGGATGTATAAGAAACGAAACAGTTGAAGGGTTTTATGACAATAAAGGATAAAAATTATATCAAAATCGATCTAAGGTCAACTTTGCCTGAGGAATTAAAACCTTCGTTTCTTATCAAGGAGATGCGAAAGATAACAAAAATATAGTCGAAACCAAACCGACAACGCCATGACAAAAAAACGAAAATTGACGAAAACAGTACACAAAACAAAACAATGCGCAACACGAAACCCCACTAAAACAACTGGAATTTCTAAAGTCTAAACACGAACAATTTAAGGTTTTATACAGCGATGGAATTAAATCATGTCAGTACTAAAGTACAAACTACTGATGATAACATCGAGGACTGATAATCCACAAGCAGATTTATCGAACCAGTACTGTATAAAATGAAAACACCTGCTAACTTACTTATACAATAAATTAAACGATTGTGGATAAGTGGTATAACTCAACAGAATGCTTGATCGTAAATAGGGCCAGAGATAAGATCTTTTGTGCATTTCTATTTGAAATATATAAGATTTATACGTAGTCACAGGATTTTTTTACAGAAGAAATCAGTTCGTATCGATAAGTTGGGATGCAACTCCGAATAGTTCATTATAGAAATGTTCACAACAATCAGATATTATTTCTGAAAATAAGTCGCATTACGGAATTTCTAGATATGGACATTTTAGGTGTGAAAACAATTATTTTTTATGCATCTTTTTACATTCCTTCTTTACATTCGTTTGTATTTCACAAGTTTTTAATTCATTGTTACACTCTGGAAGTATATTCTGTAAAATCAATGTACTGCGTTGATATTCGGTCAAATGAAGTTCAACGAGTTAAATGAGAATACAACATTTCGTAAAATTTCAAAATACGTCCAAATACGTATATCTTGCATAACGTTGTCAGAAAATGAAGGAATAAAACAAAAACCGCCACAAATCGATCAGCATTGTATAATGTCAGATTTGAAACACTGCAATAACTGAATATTATGTCTTTCAATCAAATGGTTAAGAAGAATATATTGTGTTATTTGTTGATGGAAAATCACATAAAGCACATGATAAAAAAAAAAGAAAACGCAAACAAATTTAAATTCTTTCATGTATGATTTAATTTTTATGTACTTAAAAATATGGTCAAATCAATGACTCGTTATCAACCTGTCGGTAAAAACTTTTTTAAGACAACTTACAAATGTATCACATTTTGTCGGTTGAAAGAACCATTAAATCTATGAGAAATGAAATAAACTAACTAAGTTTGGTCTTTTTTTCCTTTATTAAATGTTAAAGACACTTCGGCTCGTATACGCACAAAACAAATAGTCGAGAAGAGGGCGTTGTTGATTCCCATATGATTGCTTTGAAAGCTTTAACATGACCTATATGCAATGCTACGTTTTTCGTTTTTTATATAGATAATACCGTTATTTTCCTGTTTGAATTTTTTTACACTAGTCATTTTGGCGCCCTTAATAGCTTGTTGTTCGGTGTGAGCCAAGGCTCCGTGTTGAAGGCCGTACTTTGACCTATAATTGTTTACTTTCTATACATTGTGACTTGGATGGAGAGTTGTCTCATTGGCACTCATATCACATGTTCTTATTTATTATGTGAACTCAAACTCAAACTCAGATGAGTACTCTAACTCAATTAACGTTAACCTCTTACATGAAGGATTGAGGTTGCACTTTGTAAATACAGCTGTTTCTCAAACCACGCCTCTTTTGGGGAGATTTAGAATATTCATAGAAAATTAATTTTGTTTACATACTGGTTCCCAGTTATGCTCTCTGTGTTTCATCTCATAGAGACATAACTTGGGAATGTTACCAGTAAATATACATGTGCATATTGTTTACATTGAAATCTGTGGTAACCCTTCATTCGAGGTAGGGGTAGTTAAGAAAATTAGTGTTAGTTTAAACTCTGAAAAGTTCAGGGCATATAAACGTTGAAAATATGCCGCACAGCCCTATATTTTGACCTTTGAAAAAAATTGTAGTGCATATGAACTTTCAATTCTAGGATAAGATTTTGTTCAAAACTTCATAGTAAAAGTGGTACAGTTTTAGCCGTAAAAGGAGTTCCTATGGAAAATTGCATTGCCAATATTTACAGAAATGCAACCTATATAGGGTGAAAAAAGAGAACATTCAGAATTTAACCAAATTTTCTTTATCTCACAGATTTTAAAGAAATTAACTCAAATATGAAGTTTTATAAATATTTCATGAAGATTGATATAATCCTGGGCCTTAGATATGATGACTCAGCATAAATTCACAGTTTACAGTATGCATAGTTTACTTAAAGTCCTGAATACAAAATTAATTCATAATATTTGCATGTTTGTAAGTTAAATTGTTAAGAAGTGCTTATATTTACTCTTCGCAGTCATTGAAACTCATCGATCCTTCCTGAATATTATTTATGGGGTGTTTGTGTCCTGTCATTAACCCAAAAGTAAGCCGTAACACCTAAATCTGCTTTTTTGTCACCACGGCATAAAAAATACAAGCTAGAAATACAAAAATATCTCAACAAAACTTACAATAGTGTGTTCTATCCTGAATATGTACTAAATATTCCAAATTGCTAGAAACAGCAGAATAATTTAGGAAATTTGAGACCCCAGGGGCAAAAAACATAGAAAATTGCCTACCCCCTGGGTCATAAAACAGATAATTTAACCTGTAAATGCTATGATTTTATGATTTTTAAGTTCTTGATATAGAAAACAATAACTATGCTTGGAAGTTATGCAAAAATCAGATGTTAGCAGTCATCTCTATAACATTTTAAGTGAATTTATATCTCAGACTGGTATCTGCATACATACAACTATTGCAAATATGGCTTTGTTTGAACACTTCTAGTATATTTATTAGGTAAATTGTGTCAGATATATGGTTACAGATGATACTGTTGTGACAAGAATTCTAAATTGACCATTTGAGGTAGAAAATGTGAACTTTAATTGACAAATAGGCATACAGTAAGATGTGGACTGGAGACAGAGGCAGGATTGGATATTTTATATAATCTTGAATGTTGTAATGATTGACTGCTAAACATAACATTTATAGTATTCTGATATGCTTTCAATATGTTATCAAAACAGTTTTAAACAGGTTCTAGGCATTTTATATCTGAAAATATGCAAATAGGGTAAGCTG